ATCCATCTTTGAACATTATTTTTTGGGAAATTGACAAAAGGGGGTCCCCTGTGAGATATCTTGACAAAAGGGGGTCCTCTGTGACAAAAGGGGGTCCTCTAACCGCCCACTGTACATTAAGTGCGTTGCCAGACCGGCGCCATACCGGCAAGCCGGTCCTAATAAAGGCGACCCTGTAGAGGACCCCCTTTTGTCAAATGCACCCCCGTTACGGGGGTCCTCTATGGTAGAGGGACCCCTTTTGTCAATTTTCCTCCAAGGGGTGTTGTAGCGGTTAGTGGGGACTTGGCAATGCTAACAATGCCTCGCTTGCCTTTGAAAACAACACGCCATAACTGACCACGTCACTCCTTCAAAGCCAACATAGTCTTACCAACCAACCAAATGTCCGACCGAGTAGAATCGATCGTTAACAGATCAGAGATCATACAGGATTCAAGTTGATTCTATCAACGGACTCGGCAAGGCTCCCGCTCACCATGGAACGCCTTGTATTTGTATTCAAACTAGCACATTAGTACATCGTTATTGTCTTTGGTACTGTTCCCAACCTTCCCCTTACAACTCCGGCTAAGAAAAGACTCTTTTACATCCAATACACATCATAGTGTGCCTGTCATGGAATTAGAGGTGGCCACTCAAAGATGCCATCCGGTCCGTTAAGTCCGGTTCGTTAAATTTTATCAGCTATTCGTTGAATTCCGTTAAAGAAAAAGGGAGAAAAATTCAGAAAAAACGAAAAAAATCCAAAAAAATCAAAAAAAGACCCCAAAAAATCACAACAACTGCGGCTAGTTGAAAATCTAGTATGCATAGGTTGAAACAAAATACAAACATACTCTCTAATAGCGAATTCCATAAACTATAAATATGACTAAAACCCAAAAATCCCTCAAAAATCCAAAAATCCGTTAATTTTTGGTTAATTTTTGTCTTTTTTCCTTATTTTCCGTTAATTAACGGAAAATTAACCTCTGTCCGCTATTAACGGATCCGGGTGGCCACCTCTACATGGAACAGATCACCATGTACTAGATAACACCTTGTGAAAAAGGTCCCTTGTCCTTCCCAGTACTTCAACACATAGTTTAATTGCACTTGTGCCATGGCGTCGGCACACCCCAACCATGGCGCCACCATGCCCCAACCATGGCTTTCTGATGGTTAAAGTCTTACAATCTAATCCTAATATATGCAACTTTTTATCCTATGGTTTCTCCACTTAAAACTTCTTCCCCTCTGTTATGAAATTATCCCTTTTTGGCCTCTTTTTAACCCTTTTCTGTTGGGTTTTTAATCAATGGCCGGTGTATAAATGGCCTTGATTTGAGGTGATTTCAACATGTCTCAATTATATGCAAGTGGTCTTCAAAAAGATACAGAAATCATTATGAGCAATGACATGATTGTATTAGCATGGCATGGTTTCTAGGCTCAATGGTCATTTCTTTAGCTAGACGTTGGCAGTGACTTCATTTTACAAAGACCCTCTTACAAAATCAAAGTGTTGCAAGTGTCTCGAATGTACCAAAGCTTGTGTGTTGTAGACTTCACACCAGAATCCACTAAAGGTGGGGTTGGGGGGGAGGCGTATCGCAAGTCCCCACTAACCACTACGACACCCCTTAGAGGAAAATTGACAAAAGGGGGTCCTCCGCGGGTGCATTTGACAAAAGGAGGTCCACTGCGGGGTCGCCCCTATTAGGACCGGTTTGCCGGTCTGGCGCCGGTCTGGCAGGGCGCCTAATGTATAGGGGGCGGTCAGAGGACCCCCTTTTGTCAAATGCACCCCTGCGGAGGACCCTCTTTTGTCACAGAGGACCCCCTTTTGTCAAGATATCTCGCAAAGGACCCCCTTTTGTCAATTTCCCTTTAATATATTATTACATATGGGAATAAACTGGGGTGGTCCCGTCTAAAACCCTTTAAAGTCCTAGGTGCCCGGTGAGGTGGGTCCGCAGCTTAAAGAGGGCGTGCGCCCTATCCAAACAAGATTGTTGTATCAGCTCTGCAAATTACAGAGCATGACAAGCGTAACAAAATTTTCAAGCTCACGCATATATATGGGAGAGTATACATGGAGGACCAAAAATGAGAGATTGGAAAGCTGCCAATTACTAGTTGCTAGTGGCAACTAGTAGATATGATCTCATTTGTTGTGGTGATTTAACTTGGGGATAGGTTAAAAATAGCATTTATAAAGCTAGGGTTAGTCAAAAAAGTGCAAATACGCTAAAATCGGTTTATTTAGAAGCTTTTGATACTCATAGGCTTTTGAAACATCTAATTCCGTGTAGAAACGGCAAAGTTATGGCTAGTTGAAGTTGTAGTGCTTTAACATGGGATTCGGACCGGTAGGTCGAAGCATCGGGGATTACACGGAGCTGGTTTAGGTGAATGGTGGGCGGGAACACGTGCGCATAACACTTTACAATACATTATATATTGTTGTATATTTTCTTGTCTTGACGTAACCGCGAGGGACCCGCGATCGGGCATCATGTGCATGCGGGCCCTGAAACAGGTGCATGCAGGTCACCAATGTAATCGACTTTTGGTCCACTGCCTGGTCTCTCCGCGACCAGCGAGCCACCGCCTGGCTGCGCCACCACCGCCATATACAGCAAGCCCCAGGGGATGATCCCCTTTTGCATCTGGGCCCACCGTGCATTTGAGGGAACGAGCGCCCCGTTACCGCCAACCATTTGTGGTGGAGAGGGCCGGCTGTGCCGTCACCAGCCGAGCCGTAGGGCGTGGCGACCGCGCAAGCTACGGAGACCAATGGCGCCCTTCAAGGCCACAACATTTGTGGTGTAAAGCACAGGGGTTACAGTGCTTCTTTGATTATGTGTATCTGGGAAGTATAATAAATACTGAAGAACAATCTCATCCTTTAGTTGAGCTTACTGGGAACCCATAGGGTCTTGTATCACTCCATTCGGGTTAGCGGTAGAGGAGTTATAGCTATTTGTGATGTGGTTGTTTGGGGTTTAGGCTTAATTGGCATTTTCTATAGTGGAAATTATGTAATTGGCCAAATCGACCTCGTGGGCGTTATTTAGAGCTTCCTAGTTCCAACGCGCTCTTAAACGCCCAAATCCGTTAAGAAACGGTGAAGATATGGCCTTCTAAAGTTGTAGTACTTAGGGCCAGGGGGTCGAGGGTTAGATGCTTGGAATTAGAGGACATTACGTCGATCATAGGTGAACGGTGGAAGGTGATGATGTGCCTAGACGCGCACTGTGTTGTCTTGTCTTGATGTAACAGCGATGGACCCATGATCGGGCATCGGGCATGCGATATGTGCGCGTGCATGCAATGAATCGTTGTAACACTTCTGGCCCACTCTCTGACCTCCCGCGAGCCAACGAACTGCCTAACTGCTACGCCGCCACCTCTCGCTGATAGCAAGCCCCGGGGATCGATCCCCGTCGAGCATGCTCAATGCGCATTGGGCCCACCGCGCGACCACAGGAGCGGCTGCCCCGGATACACCCACCATCCAGGGTGGAGAGGGCCGGCTGACCTCCAACAGCCGAGCTGCAGGGCAGGGCGACCCCAACACCTCCGGAAACCAGCAGTTGCCGATGGGGCTGCAACAGTATTAGATGTTTCAAAACTTAAGGTATCCCTCCGCACCATATTTAGGGATGAGATATTATCAATACGGTGACGTTGGCTGCATTGTCACATGACACGGGGCACACCAAAGGTGACCCCGATGCCCGACCTGCTGTAACTCTTTTTGACCACTCGCCTCCGTGCGGCTGGATTTGCGAGCCGCACTGGCGTCACACATTGCGCGCATTGCTGCCCCGTGCCTGGCCGATCGTAGGCCTAGGCCCACACTATGCACCCCGAAGGAGTGAGCGCCCTAGACTGCCTGCCATCATCTGGCGGAGGAGGCCTATTCGGGCTGGATTGGGTGCCGTAGCGGGCACATTACCCGCGCATCGAGTTGAAAACCACGTCATCATTTGTTAGGGATGGACATGCCCAAAAAGCACAAGAGCGCACTGAATACAAACGATTTTGTCCCGGTCAAGTGCTAGTTTTATATACAAAACAGGTGGGTGGGTTATGCAAGACACTGTTGGGGAGGTCCCCCCCCCGAAGCCCAACCTACTGCCGCTTCAAGAGAAGCACTTATTCCAAAACACCTCTAGCGTGGCGCTGTTTTCCGGGGCTAGGCGTGACGTATCGTTTTCTTGCAGGACTAAATGATCTTTAGAATGAGAACATCAAAAACCTTAAAAATCTGCTAATGTGGATCCATTGCAGCTTTCCTTGTAGTGTTTCCTGCCAGATCCCGTAAATCTAGCTCTTGTCTTCGATCCATTATGTATTAATGGCAATAAGCATTTTCCGTCAAAACGCGACCGACCTATGTACGCCAAGACCCAAGCCTAGTTTGACATGCAAGGCGCCTCATCAAGAGCATTGTCTCGTTCTTGCAGCGCCAAGTTGGTGGGAACCCTCAATTCTTTGGGTTCGACGCCTCGCGTGTTCAGTTTGCCTTTTTGTTTAAACTTTCGAATCACCATTTCGATCCGTTTTTCGCCACCAGAATCCGACGTGGCATTCCAAATTCAACGTGACCCAGTTTCTGTCGCGCCAGAATCCCCCGCCCAGGCAACCCGTCGGCAAAAGCCCTGCGCCCCGTGCGCATTCCGCAGACGACGGCAGCCGCGGAGGCTGGCGCCGGTCGACGGTGAGGGCGGCAGGCGACGGGCCGGGCGGCCGTGGGACGTCACGATGAGCGACTCAGAGGCAAGCGCCCCAGCCACGCCAATGCTCGCCCTCACATTCCCCATCCTACTCAACGGCGAGCCGGGATCAAAGCCATGCGCCCCTCACGTTCAAATCTGCTAGTCAAGGCGGTTTGCCTATCGAATAAGGAACAAAAGGAATGATGCGCACGAGTTGACGCCCCGGATGCTTGCTTTCTTGCGCAGTCGTGGTCGGAGCCCTTGGGCCCGTCCTCGCAGCACAACGCCCCAATGCGCGTCCCCGCGTGCAAGAAGAAGACGATCGAGCAGATCTACCAGAAGAAGACGCAGCTGGAGCACATACTGCTGCGGCCGGACACGTACATAGGCAGCGTCGAGAAGCAGAGTCAGTCGCTGTGGGTGCACGACGGGCGCGCGATGGTGCAAAAGACCGTGGGCGTGGTGCCCGGGCTTTTCAAGATATTCGACGAGATTCTGGTGAACGCGGCGGACAACAAGGCGCGCGACCCCCGCATGGACTGCGTGCGCGTGGCGGTGGACGTGGTGAGTTTAGGCGGGGGCAGGTCCGTTGGCTGATGCGAGGCCCCCATCGGTGGGCGAGGGCGTGAAACTGCAAAGGGCCATGGCCTCTAGCCCGTTTTCCAGGAGCCCGACCCTCGCCTCATTTTGCGTGTGACGGCTCTCACATTGGATGACTCCAATTTCGAATTTGAAAATGAGCAACATGTTCAAGACTCTTCGGCCCGCCAAGCATATGGAGGAAACATGGCAACGACAAGGCAAAGGCGCTTCGTGTTGTTTGATTGGAATATGTTGGCGTTGAATTTTGTCCATTTGACAGTGTGGCGTCCCAACCGGACGTGACTTGGTCCAGTCGTGACTGCTATCTGGGGGCCTGGGTTTACTGGCAACGAATGGGCACGCAGGAGGACAACAGGATTCAGGTGTGGAACAATGGTGAAGGCATCCCGGTGGAGGTGCACAAGGAAGAGGGGGTGTACGTCCCGGAGCTGATCTTCGGACATCTCCTGACCAGTTCCAACTACGATGACAAGGAACTCAAGGTGGGAAGCATTGACAACCAACTATTTACAGACGTTGCAGTTCAGGGCACTGGCATGTGCCGTTGACAACAAATGTGCACATAATTTCTTTGCTCACTGCTGTTGCTGCTCAATACAAGTGCATTATGAATTGAATGTCAGGCCACTGGTGCATGCAATTTGTTCACATGCTGTTCATTGTAAACGTATCAATATCCACAATGACTTCGTTGCTCCCAGTCAGCAGCCACCTCTGTACATGAATCTCTCTCTACATGGACATCTCTTTATCTTGCTTCTGACCTACATCGCCCAAAGTTGGCCCAAGCTGTTGACATCATGTTTATGCTGCTGGGGCGGAGTTGGGTTTAGCGAACCTTATGTAATTAAGGAATTTATCATCATCATCATCACAATGAGGTCAACAACGTCCTGCAGGAAATTCAGGGAGAAGACAGTTCCTGTGGTAGTGCTGGCTGACACTGGTACTGACATCCAGACATCTCCAATGATGGGGACAGAATGTGAATTCGAACTACTCTATAACATTCAGGAGAGTCCAATTTGTTACAAGTGTGCCATCAGTCACCATCCGACAATCGGCAGACCATTCAGAGAGTCCAAAGTGCAAAGAGAGGCTGCTGCCATGGGGTCCCGATTGGCGATGTGTGCTGTCATGTTAGTTTCCTTTCTTCTTTGGGAACATGCAGATGATCCACCAATCTGTGACAACACATTCTGGGCATCTTCCTATCTGCAGCGAGATGTACTGTTTCCATTACATCCATCTTGAAAACCAGAACCAAAATACACATGTGTCAACAACGAGGTTCCCGCCAGCATGCACTCACAAGGGCCAAGGAAGGTAGCTGGGGATGCCTCAATAGCTGTTTCCTGCATATTTCAATTAATCAAACGGCAGGCGGATTGCATCAAGGCAGGCTTCCAAGCAGCCCTGTACTCTCTGTCATGGGATGTATGTACTATTTGCTTTTCAATCTCATGTGAACTAATTTTGCATCTCTCCACAAGAGGGTAATCTTCCATCACCACGACTTGCAGGCAACTAATGTGTACAAATTGAAGCATCCAAACCCAGAAACCTCAATGAACAATGCAGGCAACAAGCTTGATGGCATGACATTCCCCCAGTGTGGAGACAATCATGTATTGAGAAAGGCAGTAGTGTAAAGCGTTACCATGTACAGTGTTTCTGAGGCAGAAATGTAGATTTGTTGTGTCCATAGTGTTCCAAGCCCTTTGACTTGTTTTAGAAACGTGACACAACATGGAATCCTGATGTGTAGTGTAGCAGAGGAACTGCTCTGTTTGTCTCAATCTGAAAGCTGTATGGTTTCCTGCTTCAAACTGCCCATATCGAAAATCTGCACAACATTCAGGTTGGGGGTACTAGTGCAGGGGAGTCCCTGTTTCCATGGAGCAGGCCGCTGGGTGGTGATAGTCTGTGAACTGCCTGATATCTATCCAGGTGGTTGGAGGCCGCAATGGCTATGGAGCCAAGCTTGCCAACATCTTCTCGACAGAATTCATAATCGAGACCTGTGATGGCCATCGTCGCAAGCACTACAGGCAGCGCTTCTCTGCCAACATGAGTGCCAAAGAGGCGCCGATCATCAAGTCCTGCAAGGCCAGCGAGAAGTGGACGAGCGTCACCTTCCGCCCCGACTTGCAGAAGTTTGGGATGGCTTGTTTAGAGGAGGAGACTGTTGCACTGATGCGCAAGCGGGTGTATGACATCGCAGGGGTGTTGGGCAAGACGGTTAAGGTAAGATCGAGTTGGGGTCGTTCGTTTCAAAGGGAAGAAGTGGGCCACATGCCCTCCTGTAGCCTCATCAGAAACAGTTCTGAGTTCGGATCAATGCAAATTGAGTCTTGCCTATCCAGAGACACCACTCCAGCTTCCCTGGCTTGTGTGGCTGACACGACTTATTGCAAAACCCTGTTGGAGATTGATAATATTTGCAAGTGCCGCCATGCCATGCATGTGTTCCTCACCTTTGACATGTGCACTTGAATTGCTGAACTCTGAAGAAACTTCTTGACCAGTGCTAATGGTATTCACTCGTGGATGGGGTGGTGCAGAGCCAACTGAGCCAATAGAGTAATCGAAATCTGGCCTGTAGTGCTTGCAACGATGGCCATCACAGGTCTCGATCGTGAACTCTGTCGAGAAGATGTTGGCAAGCTTGGCTCCATAGCCATTGCCGCCTCCAAGATTCAACACCACAATGTTTGGCTGACTGAATTTGCACATCCAGGTCTATTTCAACGACGACAGGATTCCTGTGAGGAGTTTTGATGACTATGTTGACATGTTCCTGGGTCCCAAGGATGAGGGCGCACCACGTGTCTCCCAGAAGATAAACGACAGATGGGAAGTGTGCATCAGCACCTCAGAAGGGCAGTTTCAGCAGGTAATTTGACAGGCAGTGTTCATGAAAGCATCTTTTGAGTGACATTGAGCACAATGTGAACAATGAGAACAAGGTGAGAATATCATGTTGTCAACATGAGTTATCAATATGAACAACCAAGGAATATCCTTTTCTTACCTGAACTGTGTTGCAACCCATTGCAGACTGTGAATCAAGAAGTGTTGATGCACATTTGCATTCTTGTGCCACAGCAGATGGGAAGGTCGTAGGTTGCAGGCGCTTTCATATTAGAAAGAAAGAATCATTGCAACAGGAAGGAGCATATTTTCAGAAGGTGCCCCCCTACGTCATTGACTTGTTTTTCTTGTGAGATGCTTGGTCATCTCTCCAAGTATCTCTCTAAGTATTGAATGTGTCTTACTTCCTTTTCTTGCTCAGAGGGGGATTCCCCATCGTATTTCGTGTTCCTCTTTTACTATAACAAAAATCCTTCCATTCTTGTGCATTCTGCTGACCGAAAGCTTTCTTGTTTAGGTCAGCTTCGTGAATGCGATTTCCACATCAAAAGGCGGGACCCATGTCAACCATGTTGTGGACCAGATCACCAAGTATGCACATGCATGTGTTCATTATGTTTGGCAAGAATGCTGTCTGGTGCGTTTCAGTGCATGTGCCCTTCTCAGTCTTCAGCAAGAATGCCAATGCGAAACTGCAAGTGGGAACGTTGTCCTTGTTCTCGACAAGGTGACGTTGTTCAATCACATGGTTGCAATGCTTCAGCTGTGGCATGAGTTTAACAGCAACAAAAATTAGTATCAGGTGTGTTCAAATCACTGCTCCTGCACCATCGAGGCGAGTGCAGTGTCTGGTTCTTAACATCTGCCCCTGGTGACAAGGAGGGGTACGATGAATTGACGAAACAGTCTGACCTGCGTATGGGGGTAAATGCTGTGGTGCTGTTGCCTGTTGTGCTCCAGGCTGATACTTTGTGCTGCTGAACATAAAGCAAAGGCGATTGTTTCTTTTGAATGCATTCATTCTCTTGACAACACAAGGTGCAACAGGAAGGGCACTGAAGAAAAAGGGCGGTGGTGTGGCGGTAAAGAGCAGATTGTTCCTGAAGGTGGCAATGTAGATTCCTGCAAGTGTTGGACGCATGATATGTGCGTTTTTGTTTCTTTATTGGATGCCCTTGCTTGAGCTTTGCATCTCTCTTGTTGTGATTCAGGACCATTACTGAAAAGGTAAAAAAGAAGAACAAGAACGCCAGTGTCAAGCCGTTTATGGTGAAGAACCACCTTTGGGTGTTCGTCAATTGTCTGATAGAGAATCCTGCATTCGATTCCCAGGTAAGAATGCATAGATTCAGTCATCAAGACTCCTCCACTGGGACTTGTGCCTCATAGTCGCAAGTCAATGACTCTGCAGGAATTCAGTGCCCCAATCATCAACTGAACATAAAGCCACACTAGCAAGCTGCATGGAGTCACCATCTGCTGTCACTGTTTCTGGCTACAACATCTGATAGTCTGCCATTCAAGGGGCCATAATGGCTTGACAACATTTTGTGTATGTAGAACCAACCCACCTCGAAAAGCTGCATAAACTCTGTTGCATTGTTCACATGGTTTGTTACATTGTTTTATTTTTGCATGAAGGCCCTTTCATGTATGGGAACTGAGACACACACCCCATGGTTGCATTTGGATGACCAAACACCAATACAGCGCCCCTGGTTTGTCAGAAGACCACCCAGAGATACAAAATGGAAACACCAGTATGCCTCCAATCTGTGCTGGTTTACCTCCATCATATCCTAGGTCATATCACCATTGTTCCAGCACTGTCGAACGTGGTGCCTTTGAGGCCATGGACTATAGCTGACATTTCCCCATGGGCTCCTTGTGCAGACTAAGGAGCTGATGACCTCCAAGGTGTCGAGCTTTGGTTCCAAGTGTGAGCTACCAGGTCCCTTCATTGACAAAGTGGCCAAGAGTGGTGTTCTGGACAGTGTCCTGTCATATGCAAACTACCGTGAGGCAAAGGAACTAAAGAAGACCGATGGGAGCAAGCGCAGCAGAATCACTGGTACACAGCGTGACTTAACATTCTGCCTGGCTGTGGCAGAACTGGTAGTTCATCAGGATTTCACTAGAATGTCTGCCAGACAGTTCACCAGGATGAAATAGAGTACGGGAGGAGGACGGACCACAGCCATGTCCGCTATAGCCAAGCTTCCAAAACGAAGGGTGGAAAAGATCACCACAGAGAAGAAATTCGGGCAATGTGCGCAGCAGATTCTTCAACAGTTTTTTGGTAGCTATCAGAGTGATGTGATTGAATCATATGACAAATACCATTATTGTTGCGTGTTATCAGATTTTTGCACATTTCCTTACTGTTTGTGTTGCAGAAGAGAATCCCAGATGATTTTGTTCAGAGAATGTGCGACCATGAGAGACACTGTTTCTCCTCTCTGCGAGACATCGCTACCTATGGTCTGAATGGCGCTTTGTGCCGATTCCATACTTCAGGGATTCCCAAGCTGGATGATGCCAACGATGCGGGCACCAGAAATTCTGACCGCTGCACGCTAATATTGACGGAAGGAGACTCAGCCAAGACGCTGGCCATCAGTGGTCTGAGTGTCGTTGGCAGGGACAGCTACGGGGTTTTTCCGCTCAGGTAGCTTCTGACGAAGTCTGCGGATGTTGTCTGTGTATAATTAAATAATGAAGGAAACGTTTGGCATGCTTTCCTTGGAGTTCATGAGCGCACATATCTAATGCTGCGCAGGTGCAGCTGTCCATGTGGTTCTGATGGCAGAGAAAATAGCTGTGAACCAGTGTTTGCACCCGTCAGCAACATGTGAAATCGACCAATGCATGTGCATGCAATGACATGTAGTATTTATATACTTGAATTCGAGGGAACTTTGGATGCAGTCTTCACTGTGCGTCACCTATTGTTTCTATTGCTGTGAAGTTAGAATCGGCTAGTTCTCCCTTGAATTCCAGTATTATTTGCTGCTCAAAGTCTCCATGTCCCTGTGTCTGCTCATGTTCAAATTACCTTTACAGCTTGGGTGACTGTCACTGCTACAGTGCTTCATTTTGCATATCAGTCCCTTTCTTCCACTGGGCTGTTTGACACGAGTCGATAATGTGGCCCTCGAATGGTTCAGGGGCAAACTGCTGAATGTGCGGGATGCAAACATGACGTCTGTGACCAACAATGCTGAGATTAGCAACATAAAGAAGATCCTTGGGCTGCAGCATGGCAAGGTGGGTGGGCTGGGGCAGGGTAAGGAGCAACGATTAATACGGAATCCTTGGCGGAGCCAACTGCCAACCTGAATCGTTCAACAAAATGTTGGTGTAGGCACACTACTATTTGGATATCACATGCATGTTAGTGCGGTGCATGGATATTTCGATTCCCTGATTGCACTTGCCCCAACGTGATGAAGATTGTTGCCTTTTCAGGTTCACCAAAAGAAGTATAGAAATCCGAAGACAACACTGGTGTACTAAGCCAGATTCCACTCGACAGCTGCGATTAGCCATGTTTCCCTGCACAACAGCGTCTTTCAATTGTTATGTATGTTTTGGACCTACTTTTGGAAGATGTATGCACATCGGCAACATTTGCAAGATTGTTCAGCCAACATCAATCATCCCCATCTCTCAGTAACAATGTCACATAGAGGTTTTGATTGCAAAGAGCTTCTCCCCCAAACTAGGAAGCTCAACCCAGAATGTGATGTTTACTGAACTGTGTTTTGTCATGACTTTGCAGAAATACCATGATACAAATGGACTTCGTTATGGACACCTGATGATAATGACCGATCAGGACCATGATGGCTCCCACATCAAAGGTCTCATCATGAACTTCATCCATCATTTCTACCCATCGCTCTTGAGGATGCCAGGTTTTCTCCAGGAGTTTATAACACCCATCATTCAGGTATTTGATCGGATTGCACAGAATTTGCACAGAATTTCATTGGGCGGTATAATTCTTTGCACTGCTGGTTGATGTTTTACCTCTGCAATAAGACTTATTGCAAATGGAGCAGCACGCCAATTTCTTAATGATTTGGCTTGCCTTTCAAGCAATAGAATCTTGGTTTGGCGGATTTATGGCAATTTTGCAAAGAAGAGCGGCGACCAGACAATGGACTCAAATGTTGTTAGAATTGCAGATGACAACGAAATCACAGGGGCTAGCTTATTGCTGTCAGCAAAGCAGCAAACATGTGGCAACCAATTCCAATACAGAGCTCTTGGACACGAAAGAAACTTTATACACTTGCAACGATGCTTCGCTGTTCAAATTTCGTGTCAAAGTAATGCAGCGCCTTTTTTAATTTATAACCATCTCCAAAGGCAACCTTCTACAAAGGAATAAATTTTCGCAGCAGTAACTGATCTTGGAATGAAACTCCGTTTTGGGAACCCATCCAGAAGGTCTGCATCTTGTTGCACATTGACATTCTTCAATGGCGCCAACTCTCCAGCACACCTCATGCCCTCCCTGCGTTGCCCTCCCTGCAGTTGATGCGATAATTGCTGCACTGTTAGTGTTTGTGATCAAGTTGCCATGCCCCTTTCTAAGTCCAGGCGACAAAGGGCAGCCAGACCATGACATTCTACACCATCCCTGAGTATGAAACTTGGAAGGAGACCCTCGGGGGATCAACCAAAGGCTGGAAGGTCAAATACTACAAAGGTCTGGGAACCTCCACTTCCAAGCAAGCGAAGGAGTACTTTGCAGCCCTTGACGAGAACAGGAAGGACTTCTTGTGGACAGGTGGGTATTACTCAACTTTCGTTCACTTCTTTGTTCCCAGACTGAAGTGACAGCTCGTGCTCTTCTGCCTTCTTCAACGATTGCTGCAGACATTGCATTCACTGGCACAGCAATGTACCATGAACTTGAGCTATAAACTCACCCATCCAGAGCAATGTCTTCAGTGGTGTAGGAGGGATGCCACTGTTAGCAGAGTATGACACTGGATGCCTTCGATTGTCGTTACCACCCTTGGAAATTCATGGCCTCCTCACCAACATTGGATATATGTACATGAGCATGGCAGGGATCATTTTGGGACCCCATGACTGCCACCAGGCTCACAGAGACTGAAGGATGTGGATCTAGTTGCGAAACCTAATGGATTCTTGTTGCTGATCAAGTCTGTGTAAATTTATTCCCAATATCTCTCAATTGTTGCAGGGTCAGTGAGTTGAAAGGGTCGAATCAATGGTATCAACAATGTAATAGAGCAACAGTGCAATGCTGCTGTGCAGGGGATGAAGATGATGCTGCGATCGAAATGGCATTCTCTAAAAAGAAGGTTGAGGAGCGCAAGCAGTGGCTCCAGGGATACCAACCTGGCACCTACCTGGATCACAGCCAGCCTGAAATCGGATACAGTGACTTCATTCACAAGGTGAGGAACTCGTGCAACAAATGCCAGACTCACCATGGATGGGCTATGCAATTCTGACAAGCTAACTGCTGTGACAAACATCGTTTCTGAGAGGTACGTTTGCTCTCCATCAAAACATTGTTGATGCCGTGAACAGTGTCCTGCAGAACCAACCACTGCAAATAATAGTACCCATTTGCTCTGCTATGTGTCTCGTTTGCTCTCCATCAAAACATTGTTGATGCCATGAACGGTGTCCTGCAGAACCAACCACTGCAAATGATAGTACCCATTTGCTCTGCTATGAGTCTCCAGGGGATTCAGGAAGGCACCCGACGAAATTGAGTGAACAGTTTCCCCACCTATGACAGCCCTTGGTTACTTTTGTATTACTACTATCTTGTGTTGACTATGATGATTATTGCTTATTGCATTTACTGCACTTAAAGCACTGCTTTACCTATCAATGCTAATGTTGTGGATTAGTCCGCTGTTTCTTTTTACTGCCCATTTTAAGTTCTTTCATGGCTTGAAGGATCCGATCTTGTTTCTCTGCAGGAGTTGATTTTGTTTTCCCGTGCAGACCTGGAGCGCTCCATACCTTCAATGGTGGATGGGCTGAAACCTGGCCAAAGGAAAATCCTCTACTGCTGCTTCAAGAGAAACCTCCAGAACGACATCAAGGTAACATCAGGACTGCTGCCATCATGTTCAAGTGAAGCAGCGCAGATTATAGGTTATGTACACTGTCGTGTTAAGTACACCACATTTTGTCCCAAATTACTCCAAATACCCTGCATCGTCAGCTCAAAATTGCAGGCAAGACATGTGGTAACCGGCCATGGTTCACACCACGTTTAAAAAATTCTGCAACATTCATATCAATGAAATGTCAGTTGATTTTGCTTTCTTTTGAAGAATGTGCTTGGGCTTTTGAGTGCGTAGGTTCAAGTCTACCAATATGACGTGAGACGAACGTTGCCACCCTCAATTCGACGAGTCGCAGAATTGGGGCTTGTGGCCTGCCAAGCAAATCATGACCATGTTGTAGAGGAGGAGCTTATGTGCAATCTGACAATCCATCCATTCTGTCAGCAGACATCCTCACACTGGAATGATGCGCAATGCAGTCAGCTACATACCCTTGGCTTACTTTCTGCCGTTGCCTGTCCCTGTAGTTGTGTGCCTAACTGCCTTTGTTCATTGGGCCATGATGCAGGTTGCCCAGCTGTCTGGCTACGTCTCCGAGCACTCAGCATACCACCATGGCGAGCAGAGTTTGCACATGACCATCATCGGCCTTGCACAGGACTTTGTGGGTTCCAACAACATCAACCTGCTGGTCCCATCAGGCCAATTCGGCACACGTCTGCAAGTATGGTAATTCCGTTGGTCTCCAGATTGTTGTCTTGTCGATTCCATTTGCTCTAAGAGACAAAGCATTGCCCTTGCAACAACAGTTTCCATCTCATGCTGGGCAACTGTCTTGTTGAATTGCGGCAACATTACTTGGTGATGTTTGCTCCTACACCACAGCTCCTAAAACTCGATGTGCTATACTTTGGAACAAACATGCACACATCCACAAACGCACAATGCTCTCATTGCTGATGGCACACTGGACATTGCTACTTTGTTGTCATGGTTTCTAACGGCTGCATTTTCAAGTAAGTGGTTGGCAGAAAGTTGGACACAGCGCAAAATGCAACACAGACGGCCGTCTATGACAGAAGCATGGAAGGTTCTTTACAATACAGCGAAAGCATGACCTGCAATTGCCACCCACTGCTGAACAAGAAAACATCTGTGAGCCTCTTTACTTGATTAGCAATGATGTGGCAATTTCCATGTGCAGCAGTAAAACATGCTGTCAGGGGGGTCTATTGAGCAGAGGTGAGAGTATCTCAGCAAACTTGCAAATGTACACAGCAATGGACTGCACAATGTTCAACCGCATGCGGGACAGAAAATTGAACCCCAGTCTGTGTCCCAACTTGTGAAGTGTGAGAAGTGTGAGGTTAAGATCTCAACAGACATATTGGAAATTCGACAAAGCTCTCTGGCTGCAGTGGGATTTCGGCACTTGCGGCCTTGACAGAATTATACAAGTAGGGCTGTGCAGATTTTTTTGTCTCAGAATTGTGCTATATGTTCTGATTTCAGGGTGGCAAAGACTCCGCCAGCCCAAGGTACATCTTTACACGCATGTCCAAGCTCACTCGGCACCTCTTCAATGAGGACGATGACAAGCTGCTGAAGTATCAAAATGAAGAGGGTCAAATTATCGAACCAGAGTGGTGAGTGACAAGAAGTGTTCTGCAGGCCTTGCTCATATCTGGCAGGATATGCACCCTGCTGTGGGCTTTAAGACCAGATCCAACTTCATATATTGCTGGTGTAGATTCTGCAGGAGTTCAAATGCCGACTTGCAAATGACAAGGCTGTCAATGGTGCCCTGCACTAAATTTGTTTGCTTGTTTGCAGATAGATTATTCTTGCTGCCAGGCACGGCTAAAATGGCTTGCTGTCTTTCTGCACATTTTTAACCATTGGTGTGCTGTGGACAGGTACATGCCCATCCTGCCCACTGTCCTGGTGAATGGCGCAGAGGGTATCGGAACGGGTTGGAGCACTTATATACCCAATTACTCCCCCCGCGAAATTGTGCATAATTTGAAGCTGCTGCTGCAGGGCCAGGCCCCTGTTCCAATGATTCCATGGTACAAGGGATTCAAGGGGAGCATGGAAGAGACAGCATCCAAAACCCTTGGGAAGACATATATCAATGGAGGGATCATCAGCGAGGCAAGTTTGGATGAAACGCACAGCTGCGCTTTTGTTGATTGACAAAATCTCTTGTCCGCAGAGCAATCCCCTGAAGTTTTTGGCGGCAAACAATGGGGACGTTGCAACAAATGCCACGTGTATTACGTTGCCATGCGAGTCTGGCAGTGGAAGATTGACTGCAGCCGTCAATGTAACCTGCATATGCTGTTGATGAACTTGTGTTGCATGTCTTTGGTCGATATCTGCAAAATCAGAACATTCAAGCCATGATTAGGACAGTATTCTGCTATCATTCAGTAGTATTGAATGTTTCTGAAGTATGTGCCTTGTCCCAATCCATTCTTAGTGCCTTGATCTGTTCTCACTTTTGTAGGTCGATGATACCACTCTGGAGATAACTGAGCTGCCCATCAGAAAGTGGACTCAAGACTACAAGGAGTTTCTTGAGGGTTTAACCAAACCTGCAGAAGGACACTCCTCTGCACTGCTAACTGACTACAAGGAGCACCACACTGACACCACTGTACACTTTCGCCTGTCCCTCACTGAGCATAACCTGAGGCAGGCACATGCTGAGGGACTGCACAACACATTCAAACTGACCTCAAAGATATCTACTGGTGAGCTTTTGATGATGTCAGTCAGATAACGACGAGCATCAACTAGAATGTGTTATGTCTACAACCTGCAATTGCCCCCTCTGTCGTGCTGGTAATTGACATAGCCTCGACTCCAAAACATAACATGAAATGGGAATAACTTCAGCTGAAACACAAAGGGAGGATTGTATCCTTTGCATCTGATAAGTGTCAGCATTTGTCCAGAATGTATCTGGTCTCAACACCAATCCCCTTGTATGCGGCCAAATTAGGCTGCTTGCCAGTGCCAGTGCTGGGCCAACAATGGCCAACGTTTTCATGGATTCGGCTATGGGCTGGATGGGAAAGAGTCACTGCTCAGAGCCAATTATGGCAGTGAAGTTGAGCGGTTTATTGTTTCTTAGTTCTGACGAATGCACCATTAAGGGGAATACACAAAACAGCCAGAAACAGTTGCATTCTGTGCCAGAAATGATGAAACATTGGGAAAGCAAAGGTGAAATTGACTGATCCAGTACAGTTGTCCTGGGCTAATTGCCAAGCTGCTGTGCACGAATGTTGCTAGGGAACATGATGCTTTTCGACCCCAGTGGGAAGATCAAGCGCTATGAGTCGCCTGAGCTCGTGCTCATGGAGTTTTTTGAGATGCGCATCAAATTCTATGGCAACCGGCAGAAGTTCTTGCTCAAGGTGAGCAGCTGCAGGTGCTGTTGGGCATGTGTATGGCTGGAAAATGCACAACGTGGCTCTGAGGAGTTGTATCGACCCAACATGCCCAGTGGTCAACCTCAATCTCGTTGCCACCGCCATTTAATTGTTTGAAGCGTCTTTTGTCAAATGACAAATTTTCTCGCATGTGATAGGCAAATCTCACAGTTTTCGCTGGGACCTGCTAGCCAGTATGAAATCATTTGGCGACTGTTAAGCACAGAGAATGCAAAATGTGCTCATGATTGTGCAAGAAGTATTTCTGGGGGACTTGGCTAAGTATGGAGCAGCTTGGACAAATGGTGTGAAGCTGCTTGGATGTGTATCCAAGACACGCACAGTCCGTTGCCTTTTGGCTGTGTTTATGAGCATCCACAGTCTTTACTGAAGTCCACCTGACAATTCTCGGCTGTGGAATTCCAGATGGCAGATGCCGATCTGCTACGCATCAACAACAAGGTTCGTTTCATCTTGGCTGTGGTTGAAGGCGATTTGGTGATCAACAATAGAAAGAAGAAGGACATCGAGACGTATCTTGATCATCATGGCTACGACAGATTGCCCAAGTCGTCAAGGAAAGTGAGCTTGTCATGGTTGCATCATTCTTGAGGCCATTTGTGCAACACTCTTTCAAACGCACAATGTGCATTCTACTCATTGAACAAACATAACAAGACAATTCTTGCTGTAAAGCTATGTAAGATTGTTAGTGTGATTCAAATTCCATGAGTTTTGGTTAGTTATAATGGCAGGTGGGTGGAAGAGCTGCATTGCTGAAAATTCTGTTGAGGTGATGATTTCTCCTGTGTTGAGTTTTTTGGTCTTGCAATAATTGCTTTCGATGGAAATTGAGTATAAACGATAAAGAGAATCGCAGTTCTGGCCGTTGTTTGTCCTTTGTGCTGAGGATGCCATCTTGCTGGCTGTGTCCACAGCCATGCATCCACATGGGTTGTAGAACATTATCAAGTTCAGCTGGCAAGAATTACATGCCAGAGTGTGAATGTTGTACATGATCAAGCAAACTTGATGGGATAATTGTCTGTGACTAATATTTGCTATTTTATTATTTGAGCATGGTGCTACAGCTAATATGCGTGTTACTTGTTGAACATTGTTGAATCAAGGAGGACCATTGGTTGTTGTCATAACTGCCAAGCCTCTATTTTGAGAGCATCCATTGCAACGACATTCCTGAAACTCAGCAATTTTTTGTTGTGGGGTGGCAGGTGCGGCATGCAGAAGAATTAGATGAAGGGGAGGAAGGGGAAGATGGCCACACTGGCGATGCCAACAATTTCGACTACTTGCTGTCGATGGCGATTTCTAGCCTTACGATGGAGAAGGTTTGTGCCAATGCCGATTTTGAAGTGTGTTGTCCCATGCATATGTTATCTTGTTTCCTGCAGCCTGTTCTCATGATGGTTCCATCGCATGTGCCTGTGCATCAGGTCGAGGCCCTGAAGGCAGAGGCACTGGAACAGGCAGCTCGTGTGAACAAATTGAGGAACACCACTCCTGAGGAGATGTGGAACGCGGACCTTGACAACTTTCTGGAGGTGAGCAGTCGTCTAGAACTCGAGCTGAGCTGCAGTATGCTTCCATGCAGCTGTGATGTGCATTGAATGCAAGCCTGGTTGCCAGGTATGGAAGTTGGTTCCACCAGCAAGCAACAAAGCAAGTGCATGCAACAATTCATGCCCCTAAAGATAATGTGCATGGATGCCTCTGCTAGAGCAACGTATTGTTTGGAGTAACACGACAGATACACACCTGCCATTTTGTGCAAGTGTATTAAACCAAGTGGCTGGGGCATGTTCAACAGGAAACAATAATGCTTCTTAAGCTTGTGGCCCACTTTCTGCCGATTTTGAATCAGCCATCTTGAGATTTTTGAGACGTGTCTGTGCTGCTCTGCATGTGTCTGTATCGCACCATCCCCAAATGGGCGAATTCAAAGTATGTTATCAATATATATCAATAGGCTAAGCTTTACCAGCTTTTGAGTTAGCCAGCGGATACAGCGCACTTGTCAATGGACATTGAGCTGTTGGGCATGATCTTGAGTTTATGGAGAACAGGACACTGCGCTAATTGCAGCAGTTGCAATATACGATTGTGAGTATTGTTTGCACGGCGTCTTCGCCAGGCCCTAGAGGTGGTGGAGGCTGAAGAGCTTGCAGCACAGGAGCTCCTTGCACAGCAGCAATGCAGAGCAGGAAACAAGGGCAGAAAAGTCCTGAAGAAGGTAGTTTGCCACTCGAGTTCTCATTTGGCTCCAAGGCACCCACAGCGTGGGATCTTGCAGCTATGCACTATTGTGGGAATGACCTGCAGCTGAAGTGCTAACAGCAATATTTTGTTCTGGATTGCTGTACTTTATGGATGCAGTTCGCACAGCAGCAACTGTTGAGCAGCATACTTGCATCAGCACTGGGTGCCTTGCTGCGAGACAAGCAGTGTCATGTTGACAGGAATGCCCTCATGCGAGCCTACGATGTTTGTCCTCCTTGCAAATGCTTGTGAAAGGAGGCAGAGCATCATGATTGGGCAGTGGCAAATGCAAATTTGTGGATTTGTATGTGAAAAACACAATGTCACAGATTCTGGGCCGCTGTTGATGTGTGAAATGGATCTGTTTTGTGTTCGTTTTCGTCCGCTTGAAGCCATGTGCAGAAAATTGCCACCTACCTGTTCAGTGATCAGCCATTCTACTGGATTTTTCAGTGGCTCTGGCAGATGCCAGGGTGGGCTCAGACTCGTGGTTAACAAGCAAGAAAGTGCAATTGGAGGGGAAAACAACCAGCAAAAACAAATGACTCCTGATTTGCACACAATGTGGCCATGCTGATTTGCAGTGGATTATTGATCTCTTTGGCCTTGCTGCAGCCTCGTCCACTGGCGAAGCCTCGGCCCACAGCAAGTGCAGCAGCCACTTCAGTTGGAACATCTGCCCTTGGAAGTCGATACAAGCAACCCCCCAATCTGCCAACAGCATCTGCCGCAGAGAAGTAAGCGTTGCTCAGCCTGTCCCTGCAGGATTTGTCCATGTTAAGAGCTGAGAGTTCTGACACTAGTTCAGTGTACGATTCTGTTGTTATTGATCCAGATGGAAAAAATCTTCACTGTTGACGACACACATTGTGGACAGATAAGTGAATTCCCCCAAATCGAGATGTTGGTGGATTCTCTGCTGCCCTGGAGGTGCACAATCTGCCTAGGTTGATGAACATGGACCTGTTTGCTCTGAACACCTGCTTGGCCTTCGGAATGTTGCCTATGCATGAGAAACAATTTTCCATTTGGTGAAATTCAATGACGAAGTTCTCACTGTGGCCATCAGGCAATTGTCTTTGATTAACAGTATGCCTGTGAAGATCGTCTTCCTTAAAAGAAAGCAGGGGGTAGTCCGTTGAATGACGTGTTCCTGACTCATAGCATTTGTGAAGTTCTTTCCTGTACTTACTAAGATGTGGAGGTCTCCGAGTGCAATCTGCTGCACCAAACAGCACAACTGCCAAGAATAGCTGTGCATACTTGCATGTTTTGCCCTTCTTCAGGTCGAAAGCAAAGGCTCGTGTGACAACAGCCGCCGGCAAGAAAGCAGGGCCGACAACAGCCAGCATCACCACAGCCCCTGTGAGCATGTCCATTGACATCACGGAGGCCTCCAAAGGCAGGAAGGCCCAAAGGAGGACAAGCGAGGAGGACTACCAGCCCACTTTCAGCGAGCGGATTCAGGGTGGGTCACATGAAGAGAAACGATTTGGGAAGCTCACGCTGCGTTCCTAGTTAGGAAATAAATCCTGCTGATATAAAATGGCTTGTTGATTAATGCAGTAATTTGTAACCACTTAGCTAAACCCAATTGGACACTGCTGCACAGCCTGGCAAACTGCTGGCTTCCAGCAACAGCCTGCCTCTTGGTATGACCAGTGGAGGTACCTGGCAGCTACTGCTGCATAGATATTTCGCTACAGGTCATTTGCTATGGAAATGTGACGGTGTCAATTGAACACCAGCACCTTGGACGAAGTGTTGCTGGCTGACGCTTGTCAGTCCTGGGGGCAAAGTTTGACAATGGTTCACTTCCATTATGCACCTGACAGCTGGTGCGTTTGCTTATCCTGTCAGGACGACTGCAGCAGATGACTTTGGACACTGAGCAGCCCACAAGGGAGAGAACCGGCAGGGCCGCATCGCAAGCGGCCAGCAGGAGAATGGCAGCCACCATCGAAATATCAGACGAAGATGAGGAGAGTGAGGACAAAGAGGACGAGTTCCTGCCGAGCAGGTGCCTGGACATTGGTGTCTTGTGCTCTGGTTGTGGGGAGTTGTTATGACATTCATTGTTTCTTGATGATGCATCTGCTAGGGCGGTCAGCTTCATCTAGTGACGTCATAGTGGCAAGATTTAATCTGGCTTTGTTTCAGTCTTGTGAGTCAGCAGCAACAGGTTACGTTAGCGCTGAGTTATGACCATTAGGTAGGTTATATATATAGTGTAACCTCCACGTCCTGAAACTGTGGGCTGGAAGCTCAATAGAACCACATGGTGTGCACATTCGATATGCGCTTCGCACAGCATTGGGATGATTTTTGCACTGCATGTTTTCATGTTTCTTTCTGATTGGTGGCAACATTTCTATGCTACTTGCTGTTGACTTAACTATTAACACTACACAAAGAACTGCTTCATGCTTAGAAAGAGTTTAATGCAAGATTATATGCAGCACATGCTCATGCTCCTATGGCTAGCAATTGACACTTCCCCACTGTGGCCTGTGTATTGTCTTTGACAAGGTGGCACTGCTGTTATCTGTCTGTCAATAAATTGACTCTGCTTATTTGCTTGCCAAATCCAGTGAATCAGATGGGGAGCCCGAAGTGCGGTCTCCATTGCCACCCACGCTGCACTTCAGTGGGCGTAGCATGCCAACAACGGTGAGCTCACTGCACTGCTGTGAATGCCCTGCATGTGATCATTCCCATGCTGCCGTTTGCAATCTTGCCTTCCTCTTGTTTGCACCTGACTTCATACATGCTACTGTGTGGATGGGACAGGGCTCAAGCCCGTGCTTCTCCTCAGCAGACATTGGCTTCCTTTCCAGTGCTTCGCCTCCCATTGCATCATCAAACCCGATGCTTGCAATTGCTGCCATGCAGAATGTAAATTACCCAGCAGGGTACAGTACATCGCAAGGGTGGAAGGCAAATTGATCATCTTCATCTGTCGTTGTTTTCTAGTGCACATCGGATGTGCCTTTGTGTTAAGCCTGTTTTCAGTTCTCCTGCTTTGCTGCTTGTGTTTTACATTCTGTGTCCACACACAGCCATTTTCTGTTGTCCATACAGCAACCCTCCGTCGACGTGGAAATGATTGATGTGGAGGAGACAAAGCAGAAGCTGCCTGCTTCAAAGCCTGGTCGCTCAAAGGAGACAAAGCAGAAGCTGCCTGTTTCAAAGCCTGGTGGTTCAAAGCCAAAAGTCATGGCACCGGCACAGCCACCAGTGTCAACAAATACGGCAGCTGACGGCGGCACAGTCCGCAAGCGAAAGCAAAAGGCAGCAGCCTCCACGCATGGAGCCTCAGTGTCCAAAGGTACTGCACACTGGTGTGCCAAAGCTATCAGGTTGCCGTTGTGCTCCACTGGAAGCTGTAAGATTTGGCTGTCTAATAGCACTATTGCAGCATGAATAGGTGTGACAACACTTCTGTCAGGCACTTGGAGACACACTCCTTATGCTTGTTGCCCAAATAGCTAGATGTTATTGCTCATTGAAGCTGTGGCTTCCAGGAAAAAGAAATTATGGAGGAAGAATGGAGATTTCTGGATGTTACTTTTCATACATTTAGTGTGCTAAAATAAGTTGCATAGTGCGACTACCCATTGGGCTGTGAAATTTTTCTTCAACTGTGCAGTTTGCGCTATGCCATGGTCTTTGTTTCAGGAACCACGAATGGGAGTGCAGCATCCCAAAGGGGGAATGCGACAAAAGGCAAGCGGAAGACCAAAGGTAAGTAGAGGATCAATGCCTTCACCATGTGAGCGATGTCGATGGATTGTATGCCTGAACTTTTGCTCGATTCCCATTTGGCAAACGTGGTGTCGGAAATCTGGCTAACATCAAAGGACAGGTGCCAAAGTACTGGCATCGGGCATCCCATGTTACGGATGAGGGTAGGATCACAGTAAACAACCCAAACACCTTAATTCCAAGCAACTTCTGAAACATAGCACCAAGAGGAATAAGCATGTCAGATAGGAAGAAAGTGCAAGACAATAAAGCATATTAAGAATTACTACTGAAATACTACTCCACAGCATTAGCAGATACTGTAGCATAGCCAATTGTTGCCTTGCAGCGCCAAGGTTGGCTATATGAATAATCTCTAATTGCTTTCCCTTCTGGAGCATTTTTTGCAAGAACATGGTTTTCTCAACAGATTGCCAACATTTTGTGCTGCCAGCAATAGCGTTCAGTATGCTGCCCTTACCTGGTTGTTATGGTGCAGTGGTTTTGGAGTCTGAGGAAGAGGACGACTCTCCTGAAGAGCAAGCTCACGACCTCTATACTTTTGACTTAGTGTCTCCTGAACCAAAGGTGGGAGTTTGGCCCATTCAGCATTTGTGTTAATTATGGAAGGACATGACCATACATCCCCAGTTCTGCACAACAAGGTATAGGTTCGAACTGTATAGGTTCATCGCCTTGCATCAGTCTGCACACCTCGCAACAGTGGTATTGTTCAGGCATTGTGACGAAACACAGATATAGTGCTCATTGCAATGCTTTGAGTCGATGTGAATGGGCATTGCTTGAAGTCTCCCCACTTCAAATACTGTCTGTACTTCTGCCTTTTACCACACCAGGGCAAAGTTCGCAAGATGCGGCCTTCCCCATTCCACAAGAAGTCAGGCCTTCCCAAAGATGTGCAGAACCTAGATCCCGATGTGTCGGCTATTGGGGGCCCCTCCAGACCACGAAGGACCACAGCCAAAGTAACTTACATCATCTCATCGGACAGCGAGAACGACTCTGCTTCAGCCGAAGACAAGGACTGCAGCTACAGTGACAGTGGCTGAGGCGGAGTGAGGCAGATGGCTCTCGCCTTGACTGTGGTACAAGCATTCCTGGTGCCATGTGAGGTTTCTTGGACGATAAGGGTAGCAGGGTAGCAGTTAATTCTTTATGATGATTCACACTTGTGCGATGCTGGCAAGCGCTGGCACAATGCAGGGGCATGATTTTCGCCTGGCTGCTCATGAATGCACTGCAAAGCATTGAGTGTTGGCTCCGGCATGCGAAAGAATGGGCAGGAGTGATGGCAAATGACCCCCATTGCAAGCAAACAAGTAAGAACTGTAATTGTTTGGCAGGCATGGCAACTCAAGCGCCCCAGCTCAGGGAGCTGAGCTGATTATTCCTGTGTTTGCTTACCATGGCGAGTAAGGGGAGGAATATGCACTCCAAACCACAATGCCATTTGTGGGGCTTTCGGCTGTACACAACTAACAGATACAATAACAAGCGACTTCAGGCCACAAATCTTGCTGCACTCCCTCCAGATAATCTCTATAGGTACTGAATGTTTAGACTATGTCTTCTCCATTTCTTGGGTTGGTCAGATGCCCCTAATAGTTCTCACAACCTATGATGCTCGACCTTTTCCACGTTCAAGTGTATCATCAAGACATGACACTTCTTCCACCCACCCAAAGCAGTGTATGATTTTCATTTTGTGATTTAAAAATTGCATCTGGCTTGCTGTGTGAAACTACCAGCAAGAACACTGAATGGTGCATTGACTCTTTTCAATTGGATTTCGGACACAATGGTGAGAAAGGTTGGAATGTACTGCTATTTGTGGAATGTCAAAAGAATTATCTGCAACTAGCTGTAATTTGGGCTTCCGGAATATTGCTGAAATGTGTGCCTGTGTCGAATGCATCCAACGATGTTTGGCCTGCCAAGTCTCACTGGAGTGCACAGCGCCTCTGTCCATACAGACACCCATGACTTGGGGCTGTTGTTGCTGCAATTTGGTGAGCTATGCCCCAAGCTTTGGGCGCTACAATGCACTATGGAGGGAAGGGTTTTTGGGACTCAGGGGAGGGGATTCTGTGTGGCACTGAGCAAAAACTGCGGTACGATCAACAACGTTGGTCTGGGATTCATGCCCAAGATTGTCTCTAAGGTGTAGGGCAGTGTTTGGTCATGTTTATGTGACAAATGCAATCAAAGGATTTGTACTGCATGCACTGCAAGCTTTGCCCTGTGGTCATCGAGGGCACTATACCCATGTAACGGGCATGATGCAAATTGTTATCTTGGTGTTATCTTGGTGTGTGTGGTATACACAAGCCCAAATGTGAACTTCAGCATGCCCATGTTGTGAACCATTCTGTTGAAAATTCTGTTTGCATATCTTTATGTCTCTCCAATCGACATATCTCAGGCACGTTGTCGCTATCAGCCATTTATGATTAGGCCTAATTCGTACCGAATGGTCGGCATGATGCTGGAAATGCAATTAACTATCCTGTCAATATGTTTCCACCAAGGACGACGTTGGGTGGGCTGTGCCGATGATTCAAATCGGCGGCGGTTGAATTCAAACGGTATCTGGCCCCTCTGGTACCTTGGGTCAGTCAAGGTACGTAGTTTCCAAGGTGCCGTCAGTTTGGCGCCCTCGGACTTTGGCGGGCTTTGGCGGGGTTGAGCGGGGGCAGCTATTTGGGCTCCCCCCTCGGTCCCCCTCCTATCTTGTTTCACACCCATCCCGGCCTAGAAAGTGGAGTTCGGTTGAGTTGAGGGAGATAGAGGGAAGGAGCGGCGGGCAGTACTGGATTAGGGGGCTGACTCAGGGCTGAGACACGGAGAAAAGTGGCGTGAAGTACGTGCGAAGCGAAAGGGCAAACTGTTAAGTACGGGGACCTCAGGTATTTGGAGTTCACGGTGACGGACACCTTTTTTGTAAATGTCTTGCTGTGTGGGGAATATGACCGGGTGGGTTCAGAAGGCCGGTGAGGTGGAAACCCATCTTCGACAACGCCCAGCTTAATTGGGCCTTATGACGCTCAAGGAAAGGACCGCCGCTGTTTTTGTTGCCTGTCAAACTGTGCCAAATCGCCTGCGACGACCAGTGCGCGAAGCACCGAACCGCCCGGGCGCCCCCCCACAGTTTTCGTGCAGCACAGTTCCCGGGCGCGCCCGAACTCAGACTGTGTCCGCTGCCCTCCCTCGCCACGCCGCAAGACCACCGCAGCCTGGAGGCCGCGCTCGCTCATCCGGATCCGGACGCCACGCCTGGCGCCGGCGCAATGAAGTCCGCGTTCCTGCGGGGGCCCTGGGCGTACTACGCAAAGCGTGACGAGGAACAGACCGCCAGGATCGCCGAGCTGGAAGGAGAAGTAAGGCCGCACACGCGGGGCCGCTTGTCTCCTGACGCAGACTGCGGACGCACGCCAACGGCGACGCGAACGCGGTCAAGGATGGGCGCACGGCTGCAGCAGTACAGCGGGGACGACCCCTCCCCTGCCGCGCAAGCTTGAGCACAGGATCTGATGTTCGCAGCGCTGACTGCCCCGTGGTTCCGCTCCGGCGCGGCAGCCTGCGGACGCGCGAAGGGTCCCGCCGCTGCGCCTACAGCCCCACGACGGGCCTCAGGGAACGTGCCCGCGACAGCCGAACAAACACTCCACCTGATCCGCCGCTTGACCTGATCCCCCGCCCGTGCCCGCGCCCAGGCAAGGCAGTGGCGCACGCAGATCGAGGAGATGTCGCAGCGGCTGCAGGCCCTGCAGGTGGCTGTGGAGCACGGGCGGCTGGACCTTGGGGCCAGGGACGCGCGGATAGAGGCGCTGGAGACGGCCGTGGAGGAGGGCGGGCAGGCGACGGCGGTGGCCGAGAGGGCCCGGCAGGAGGCGGTGGCGCGGTGCGCGGAGCAGGCGGCGGCTCTGAGGGAGGAGGTAGGCGCCCTGGCGGCGGACAACGACGTGCTGAGGGGGGAGGTGGCGGCGCACGCGCGAGTGAAGCAGAGCACCGCGGAGAAGCTGGAGAGGGTGAGGCGGAAGTTGGGCCTGACGGCCACCGAGAGCCAGCACTTTGTGCAGGTGCGCAGGGTTCGGGTGGGGGAGGGAGGGCGTTCGTCGACGTCGATGGTGGCAGGGAGAGGACGGGCGCGTGTGTTGTGAGGAAGGGCGTTGTCTCAGATTGCCCACAGGAAGGCAAACCTACACTAGGGAAGGGTTGGAGTGATGGAGCCGATGGCGCGATGGAGAGGAATGCAGCCTATCGTCCTCCACCACCTGGCACAGGAAACGCCCCTTAAATTCCCACTGGTCAGGGGCCAGCAACGGCAGTCTTGGTCTTCAACAGGCGATGCCGGCATCGCCCTCAACAGGGATCACCACGCCATTCTCGAACAACAGTACAGTTCACCTGGCTTCCCCTATCCCTTTCGCCAGGCACGTTGCAAAATTGTGTTCTGAATACGACTGCAGCCCTCTGGGCACGTCCTCTCCAGGAGCTGGATGCTGCAAAGAGCCAAAACGCTGAGCTCCAAGTCTTCAACACGCAGCTGGTGTCTGAGAATGACCTCCTCAAGCAACAGTGCAATCAACATTCCCGCCATTGCCTGATGCTGATCAAGGAGAACCACAGGATGATGGGACACCTGGGCAGGTTGAAAGGGAAGCTCCAAAATGCCAAGGAGCATAGCAGGGGCTTGTTTGAGGTCAATGCTCACCCAAAAGTCCCAAAGAAAGCGAAGGTAATACACTGCTGCCCTACTCCAGGGACCACATTGCTTCTTCAATGTCCACTCAGGCATCATCCTTTGCTATGGAATCCTGCAGGAGTGCTGCAAAGCAAATGACAAGGATCCATCAGATCTTGCATCAACTCTGTGATGGCCTCCCTGCAGGTTGGGGCCGCAAGAAAACAGCAAGGCTTCAACAAGTCTTGTCCAGGGGACGCCCTTGTGCAGAAAGTACTGTTGGAGGCAGCTGCGTTTCGCAGGAGACGTCAGCAGACCGGTGGAACTGGGCCCATGTCCACCGAAACGATCGGCACAGTCATCACACAGCCCATTCCACTCACCTCGGGCACTGAGGACGGGAACTCCAGTGCTGGCAGCGAAGACAGCTCTGACACATCCGTGGCATCAGAACGCTGCAGCTGAGGCGCGTCGTAACAGACCTTGGGGCGGGGCTGGACTGATATCCCTCGCATTCTGTGTGTTGTGGAGATATTTTAGCCGCCATGATTGTTGTGAAAGAAATGGCTCGCCAGCGAATTGTGGCATTCTGTCGAATGTTATTTCCCGCAAGGAACTGAATGTTATTTCTCCCAAGTTACTCCTTGTTGCCAACATAGAATGCGAATGCTGGACAAGGCCACGACAGAATGTGGTCGCGGTTGCGGGCCTCTCAACGCGCTTACGTACTTTACCTTGATTTTGATGATTCACCATGGAGGTAGAAATTTTGATGAACTTATTTTCGAATGGACTCGACGCAGGTGTGGGGACAGAAATCGACAGAATAATCATGCATGGTTTATAATCAACATAAACATGGACCACCATGATTGCTTCTTGCTTCAATGCTTGCGCACAGCGTCTCTTAATGGCCCATACTAGCAAATTACCAATCCCTCTCGAGAATGTGTTGAATGTATTGCTGGCTTAGCTCAGACGCACCAGTTTAGTTTTCTGCCGCCATGTGTATCATGTCATCGCTGCATTGTGGCTTCACTTTATGCACACGTGGCGCTAACTTTGCTGAGTGCTTTCAGCACATTTCTCTACTAATGCCAGTCGCCGTGTTCCGCACCAGCAGATGCGAATTATCTGGGCGCATTTGGAAGCACTAAGGGCAGACACTACCTTGAATATTGTACGCATAGCGTCAGTGTGACGCTAAGCTCAGGAAACCCCATCCCTGTCCTCAGCGTCAAATTTATTTTGATCCCTGAATGACTCATCTACATTACCTAACAATGCCACAAAACTTAGAAATAAGTTCAAAGGAAAAAACAACCCAAATTGCAGCGACTGCAGTGATTTCAAAAATGGGGATGCCAAAAGCCACGATAGGCGATGAGGGCAGCCCAATGCCTGAAAAGTCGATCCTTTTAGAGGACTTCCTTCAAAGTGAAAGTTTGAGGGAGTTTTCGCAACTATTATGAGTTTTATGCTGTTGAGCAGTGGCGTTTTGTGCAACTTCCCACCTTGTTTTCATTTTAGTGCAGTTGCATAATCTCTTAGCGTCAGTGGCTGGCACCATCACCATACCATCGCGTAGTTGTGCCGAATCGACAGGTGCCAGGGAAAGGTACCTAACGCCTCATGGGAAGGCATTTTCTAGAATTGGTTACCCTTTGCGCCCAACATACGCTTGACGCGGAGGTGTATAGGGCATGGACGACAGGAATTGTGTAATAGGACTAGAGCCAATACAAGGGGCCGGAAAAGCCCTCGCCCTGTGCTTCCACCAAGCAAGAGACGAAGCACAAGTCCTTCTTCATTCCGGAAGCTGTGCCCAATGCGGATTCCAGATAAGAGTGGTTTGGTGGGTGGCGGCTTATACAGTACCAGGCTGCGGGACGTGCCAGCCATTGGACGTTGGACCGTGCCTAATGGGCCCTGCCTGTGCCCGGCAATTCCACACCCACATGGGCTCTGAGACTGACTATCACCGTGTAGTGGGAACGATAGCTGTGTGGAACGGAGATAATTGGTCGCGGGTAGGGGCACGAGTTAGGACGGTTGGCCATGAGCGGAGCGCGGATGCGCTTTGCGGCGCCGTCGCCATTGACTGCCGGCGCATTGGCAACGCGAAATGTGGACGATGCAGACTTGGGTGTTGCGACAATCATCAGGCGTGTGACGGGGCCATGGATTATCACGCAATTGCATGGGTTGGATGGAAAGGGAGCTGCCCAGCGGTGCATGCGGCTGGGAACAGTGCAGGAGGCGTATGGCGAAATTCGTCGAGGGCAAATCAGAAATTTTAGCTGCAACAAACCCCTTGTTGTTCTTCCAGGTCTACCAGACATTTTGATGCACGGCAGTCAAGCGCCATGTGCTCTCCGCTGGTGACTTCAGGGCCGCTGCGGCAAGGACAAACACCCAATAGGGGCAAGGGTATGGCCAAGAATGTGGTCGCACACTTTAGCGCCCGTTGGTTGCCAAGCTCATCCAGGTCAAACAGAACATTCCTCAACAGTACTGTCCATTGCGAGTTGAGGTTTGTGCGCATGCACAACACAGCTACACTGCATCCTTGGGTGGGCAAGCCTTGTGCGCAGCAAACGCTAACGCCCCGCGAATGAGTTTTGAGCTTTTCAGCGTGATGCTGCCCAGTTCCCTGCAGAATACGCGGCATTTTCCGTCGATCAGTCATGTTCCCATGTCGGGACGCGCCGTTGGCTGCCAAGCCGCCGCGCGGCCCGGTACAACAATGCCAATGCATTCAAATGGAGAGCATCATTTTCTTGAACGAGCTCGATTTGAAATACTAGCAGAAAATTCAGAAGCAGGCCGCGAGAGGCTGCGAAATTCTTCTTTAAATAGAATCACAAGCCATCCCAAACATCCTTCGCCAAACACCACTTACCACAGGTGGTGACTGTCGCCATGAGCCAGCACGATATTCTGTCCCTCAGCTTTCTGAACCTCCCCCTTGCATCGTACAAGGGACTCTACTTCGCCTTAATAATAAGATATTAGAATGCCAGACGCAGCCATCAATGCCATGGAATGTGGTCTCGGTTGCAAGCCTGCCCAGGGTGTTTCCGCAAGTTGCCTCGATTTCCCCAACTCAAATTGAAGGTGGAAATGCAAATGAGATGTTTCCCAGGTGGGGGCGATGTGAAGGTGGGGATAAATATGCACATATGAAAGACGCACACATTTGTTAATCGACGCAGTCATAAACCATCACACCTGCTTCATTTCAATATGTCCGGGACGTGTCTCTAAATGAACCAAGCGACCTGGACGTGATCAACCACTGTGTTGCAGGTGCAAAATTTCAATATCAATTCATGGATGTTGTCCAGCATTCCGGATTGTCGTCCAAATCCAGATTCTCTTCAATTGGACGCCCGACTGCAGCCCCGCCAACGGGATTTGGAGCGCTTGCATTATGCGTCATTGTGCTATTGCCTTCGAGAATGTAATAATGATTTGGGTTAGATACATCCATTTGGCAATTGGGATCATTTGTATCTTGTCATCACTATATTGATATTTCACTCGTTGTGTTTGGTACAGACAATTTCGAGTGCTTTCGCCACTTTTGCTATTCATGCCGTTTGCCATTTGCCAATGCTGTTTTGAAACAACATGACACACGGCCAGATGCTCATCACTTGGGTCGTTGAGACGCGGGTGATCACGTAATTGTTGAACGCACTATTTTCTTAAATGGACGTAAGCCATGCAAATGTTCCAGACACTTCGAGGGAAGCGCTATATTGAATCGGGCACATGTTGAACCTGGCAGACGCTAGCGGTGTGGGGGCGATTGGCGCCAAATGATGTGACTGTGCTGGCACAATCGTAGCACAAAATGGATGAAAATCCCCCACCATCAACCTACGCCGTGCAAATGGATAACTTGCGCCTTCTCCTTCATTCCAAAAGATGCGATCAATGTACAGGCCAGATGGAGCACGTTTGGTAGGTGATGGCTTGCAGGTTATCATGCTGCAAGACGTGCCAGCCTTTGGCAACCAACCCCTGTGTGCGCTGCAGTTTGCCACTCATTGGCTTTCAAACTGATGACCGACTTGTGGTGGGAACAATGGATGTGTGAATGGTTGAGGACTATATATAAGGCTAGGGACATGAGTTGAACTGAACGAGGATGCGACATCACGCCCACCATCGCTGTGGAACACGGTTGCCAATGGCAATGCGAAGCAACAATGGTGCGGTATTGGTTGTTGCGCGCGTGGTCAGTTGCAGTGAGGCCAGGGATTCTTACACAATTGCGTGCGTTAGGTGGCAAGGGAGCTGCACAGCGCTGAGCGGGTGCGCTAGCGGTGCATATGTATGCTTCGAAGGACGCGGCAGTGCATAGTGCAGATCCTGGCCTCTTCAAGTTCGAAATCAGGTGTCTGCATTGGACTCATTTTCGTCGGTCCATGCTGCCAGGCAATTTGACGTGCGGTAATGAAGTGCCATCCGTCATCCGTTAGGGACTACACGGTTATCGGAACAAAGCTTCACACCACCAAGGGGGTTGCGCGTGATCATGAGTGTGGTTTTGCAATGCAGTGTGCGCGGTGGTCCAGTTCACTCAGACGAAGTAAATGTTCTGTAATAGCATCCCCGTGATGGTATCCCCAGTTGATGTTGTGCGCGTGCAGTGCACAAATACGCCGCGCCATTGGGCCAGTAAGATTTGTCCACAATTTTAGATGATGCCCTGTCAATGGTTTTTGCGCTCTTCAGTATGATGCCGCATGGTGCCTTGCAGAGTGCGTGGCAATTTGAGCCGTTCAGTCGCGTTACCAAGTAAGGGGGCGCCCTTACCTTTGGAGACCGTCGTCCCGCGCAAGGCAATAGCGTTAATGCTATCAAAAATTGCCGATAATTGTTTGCTTTGGTGGTCTCATATTTAACTCAAGTAGCTTGAGGAAGATGATTTGACTAAGAAACCTCAGAAGCCGACTCGTAGACATTGCAATTTTCATTTTGTTAAATCACGATTGGTCCCAGGACATCCTATGCCAAACACCCCTTACCAAAGGTGATGGCTGTCGCAAAGGCCTAATATTACATTCAGTTCCTTAGCTTTCAACGCCTTCCCTTGCATGTAGCTTTCTTAAATACAGAAGACCTTCTGTACCACGCTAGCCTGCAAGCCTTTAGTACTTTGCCAGCCACAGCAGCAGATGCGCTCAAATTCAGTAGCTTCCACGCTATGGCGGAGCGACGTGCGTCCGCTGCCTCCCTTCATATTGCTCGCCCCTTCACGCCCCCACGTATCCCAACGTGCGAACCGAGCCAGGTTGTACAACATCCGGCTGCATCAAATTCTCAAGATTCCTGATCACTAACCACGGCGCTGAATCGACGGCAACCTGCATCATGTCAAGCGCTAGTTCCAGTGAGAACATTACCGTAGCACATTGTATCGCCGTTCCTGCAATAGTGTTATTGAACGAATA